CGGCGCCGACGAAGCCGCCCGGGATCGCGAAGGGCCGGCGCGCCTTCGGTTTTTTGACGCGCAGGAACAGGAAGCTCGCGATGAAGAACATCTTCGACACCGAAAACAGCGCAATCTCGACCTGGAGCAGCGCCTTCCAGGGCACGAAGGCGAGGCCCAGCGAGGCGCCGGCGCAGGCCAGGACGTAGACGCGCGCGACGCCGTCCGCTGGTGGAGTTCGCAGGTACCGCGGCAGCGCCGCGCACTTTTCGGGCTCGAAGGCCCAGTGCTCCTCGACGATGTAGTAGAGCGTCCGCTGCGCGGCGACCATCTGCGACGAGTGGTAGCCCACGTTCGAAAACTGCGCGCCGACGGCGAAGAAGCCGTAGAGCACGTCGCCGCCGAGGCGCCGCGCGATGACGGCGAAGTAGCCCGCGTCGTAGTGGCCTACCAAGCATGTCGGTAACGATTTCTCGTCGTTTTCCCGGTCAAAATCTCTCGAAAATCGTCGCCGCCACAGGACGCTGGTAGTGGCCGACGTCGGGGTCGACGGACAGCGAGACGACGACGGGCAGCGCCTGCAGCGCGACGGCGACGGGCACGAGCACGGCGATGCCGCCCAGCAGCGTCCGCGCCACGGGCGCGCGCACCTCGCCGGCGATGGACCCGAAGCTCGACCAGCCGCTAAAGTTCCAGAGCACCCAGCTCACGAGCAGGCCCGGGTCCGTCGGCTCGCCGGCGACGGTCGCGGCGGCGCCGTTCGCGCGGAAGAGGCCGATGGCGATGTACGCGACGCAGGGCGCGAGCACGAGCGCGCCGACCTACCGAGCACGACGGCGACGATTTCTCGTTGTTTTCTCACCCAAAATCTCTCGAAAATCGTCACGGCCACGGGACGCTGGCGCCGACCACCGCGCTCGCGCGCTCCGTCGCGGACGCGCCGCCCGCGTGCGCCGCGGCGGTGGCGAGCACCATCGCGACCTTGAGCGCGACGGGCGCCCAGTGGTTCGACGGGACGAGCTCGCGCGCGTAGGCCTCGCCGAGCTGCGGGTAGATGCTCGCGTCCGCGAGGACGACGAGCAGCACCCAGCACGCGTTCTGCAGGCCGACGCCCGCGCCGAAGGCCCGCTCGACAAACGCGGCCTGGCCGCCGCTCACGGGGTGCATGCCCGCGAGCTCCGCGGTGATGAGCGCCACGGGCACGCAGAACAGCAGCGGCATGGCGCAGACCTATGTGTTGTGACGCTTGTGTTTTTCTCTGGGGGCAGACGCGGCGACGCGACGAGCATCAACACGACGCCCGGCGGCGCCAGCTTCACGAGCGACTCGTTGCCAAAGAAGCCGCCCGTGACCCAGAAGAGCCCGATGAGCACGACGCCGCGGACGCCGATGGTCCGCGACAGCTCCGACGGGCCGCTGCGCCGCGACGCCACGTCATCGTCGAGCAGCGGCTCGTCCAGCGGGGCTGCCGCCTCCATCGCGGCCTCGACGAATCGGAGAGCGCTGCAAGTTCTACCTCAAAGCATAAGTTGAATGGGGAAACTTCGGCGTTTTTGACAAGGACCTCACAAGCACGGACCAGCCCCTCGAGTCCCGGACGTTCTCAAGGCCGCCACCGGGTCCTATCTCTAGGACGCGTCGCTAAAAGCGCCGAAGTTTACGGCCGTTTGCAAAGGCCGCGTCCGGGGAGAGGACGGAGGTCAAGCCCACCTAGAGGACGTACTGCTTCTGCAGCTCCTCCTCGAGCTCGGCCTCGCGCTTGCGGTACTCGTCGTCGATCTGGACGAACTGCTGGCCCTGGCGGAGCTCGTCCTTGGCCCGGGACGGGTGGGGCGCGCCCGGCAGCGCGAACTTCCACGTCTCCCAGATCGTGTCCGACTCGACGATGGGGTAGGACGAGATGCAGTCGTTGTACTTGCATGGCGCCCCAACCAACCTCAACAGGAAGCGCAGGATCTCGATCTTGGACGCCTCGGGGTCGCCCATGGCCCCCAAGCCCGCCCCGTCGAAGAGCGCGCGGCAGACCGCGTCGTAGGTCTCGTCGTCGCCGACGTGCCTCCACCCGAAGTCGTAGGGCCGCCGCGAGTCGTCGAAGGTGTCGCGGTAGTCCAACAACGAGCCCGCGTCGTCGAGCTCGACGTAGTCCATGCCCGCCTGCTGAATCTCGGGGTCCAACTCGTCCGGGTCGATGCCGCGGAAGTTCGTCCGCGTCTCCACCGTCTGCGCGAGCGGCTCGTCGCCCGCGGGCACGGCGTCGACGCGCAGCCGGTACTGCGTGCCGTAGCCGCTGCGGATCACGGAGAACTTGAAGTAGTTGTGCACGGTAATGTCGAAGCCGCCGCAGCGGATCGACGCGCGGTACTCCTGGTGCCGCGTGCCGTAGCCGTTCCGCTCCGGCGCGTCGCGCGCGTTGTACGGGAGCGTCACGGGCTCGAGGTCGTCGAGGTCGTCCGTCGGCGACCGCGAATTCGGGTACTGGACGTCCAGGGGCGCGTTGCTCGAGTCCCGGTACGTGATGTGGCGCCGCGCCTCGAGCACCGACACGGGGAAGCCCGCGCCCCAGCGCTCCAGGAGCGCGTCCGCGTGCTCCCGCACCGACGACGCCGGCGCGGCGGCGCCGGCCGACGACCGCGTCCGCGCGGCGACGTTCGCCTCGCCGCCCTCGTAGTGGCGCTCGAGCACGTGCCGCGCGACGAGCAGGTGCGCGTCGAGCAGCGACCGGTCGACGTCCATGGATCCGCCGCCGCCCTGGTAGAGCGCCCGCGCCCAGCGCGAGGCCTCGCGGCGCAGCGCGATGTGGCGGCCGCTCTCGTCGCGCGCGGCCTTGGCCCAGCTGCAGCACACCGTTGCCCAGCCGGGGAGTTCCAAGGCGCCCGCGAAGTCGAGGACGAGCGGCACGGCGACGCGCGGCACCGCGCCGTTCGTCGCGGCGAAGCGGTCGTTGCGCCGCGCGATCGATCGCGCCTTGCCGAGGTCGCGCTCGACCAGCGGCGCCACCGCCGCCGCGAGCTCCTCGAAGCTCGCGCGCGACGACGGGTCGTCGACGAGTTCGAGCGCGGCGGCCACGTCCTCGGCCGCGGCGGACGCGCGGCCGACGGGCGCGCGCGGCGCGCGCGCGCCGGTGCAGCGTCTTGACGCGGATCGCCACCGCGAGCTCGGCGCCGCCGACGTCCAGGGCCTCGCCCGCGACGCGCGACGCGGCCTCGAGCCAGTGCGCCTGCCGCGCGCCCTTGACGAGCCGCGCGACGCGGAGCGCGCACTCGGCGACGTTCGACAGCGTCGTGGCCCCGAGCTCCGCGTTCTCGCAGCGCGCGAAGAGTTGCGCGGCGATCTGGTACTGCTCCACGGCGCCGAGGAGCGTCGCGAGCTTCTTCTTCCGGTTGCGTTCCTTCGCGGACTTTTCGAGGAGCGTCGCGGCCTCGGCCTTGTGCTCCAGCGCTCGAGTCGCCGCGCCGTCGTCCTTGTCCGGATGGTCCAACGCCCAGACGAGTGCGGCACCGATCTTGGCCATGGCGTCGCGATCCTCGTTGCGCTTCCGCCGCGCGCAGCTCCGATCGAAGCGCTCCTGGAGCGACTCGCCGTCGCGTCGCCGCGTCTTCTTCTCGTCCTCGTCCGACGACGCCTCGCGGGACGCGTTCGCCTGCGCCCACGCCTCGCCGAGCGCGCGCACGTCCACGCCCGGGCTCACGGCGGCGAGCGCCGCGCGCGGCCGCTCGTACAGGAGCTTCTCGGCGACCTCGACCTTGGCGGCGCGCGGCTCGCTCTCGTCGTCCTCGTCCGCGTCCTTTTTCTCTTCGTCGATGATGCGCTCCACGGCCGTGCGCGACGGGGGGAAGACGTCCGCCGCGAGCTCGGTGCCCAACGCGTAGTGGAGCGGCGTCCGCCCGAACGCGTCCACGACGGACGCGTCCGCCCCGCGGTCCAGGAACCACTGCACGATGTCCACGACGGACACCTCCTTCTCGCCGAAGCCGTACTCGTGCCGGAGCGCGAGGTGGTGCAGCGGCGTGAGCTTGCGCCCCCAGTCGGGCTCGTCGAGCCGCGCGCCGCGCTCGCTGAGCCACTTGACGATCTCGAAACTGTTGGCCGCGTCGTAGCCGTGGGCGCACACGCAGGGCAGCGCGTTCGCCACGTCGCAGAGCGGGTCCCCGTCGATCCACGCACCGTTGCTCAACGCGACCTCCGCGTCGGCCTCCTTGAATCGGTAGGCGCAGCACGCGTCGAGGAGCGCTTTCTGCTGCGTTTCGGCCGTGCGGACGCGCTCCAGGCGCAACCAGGGGCTACCCAAGGCGGCGTCGTCCTCCCGGAGCGCGAGTGCGGCCTCGAGGGTCTTGGGCGCGAGCAAGCCGTCGCGCGTTTGAGGAGCTGCCATCGGATTGCCGGGCTGCCTCATTCGAACAGCCATCGGGCTGGTTGAGGTCGTCATTGAATCGCGGCTGCGTGGCCCCCGCGGCGACGCGTCGCGCGCGCGCGACTTCGCGCCCGGCGCTCACAAACAGAGGAAATTACGCGGCGGCGTTTCGCTTCTTGAAGTGCGTGTTCATGGAGACGCAGACGCAGGACACCGTCGCGACGGCGGGGATCGTCTTGGCGTAGGTGGGCACGATGCCCGCGAAGAGGGACCGGAAGCCGCCGTCGCTCATGGCGCGCGCGACGCTGAGCCAGGTGCGGTCGCCGACGACGCCGTCGTTCGCGAGCTGCCCGATCTGGAGCCTCCTCCGCAGCACGTCGAGCGGGTACGTCACGGTCTGCGCCGCGACGCCCGCGGCCGCGCCGATGAGGCAGAGCTTCGCGTAGGACGGCGGCTCCGCGTCGCGGGCGCTGTGGAGCGACCGGCCCGCGTCGATGACGCTGTTTTGTACCTACGTCCGACGGGTTCCTCGCGGCCGCGCTGTGATGACGCTGGTTTGTGCGGCGACGAAGGGCACGACGGCGGCGAGCGTCGGCCCGAGCCCGCGGTAGAACGTGGAGAGGAACGCCCCCTCGGAGCGCAGGGACGCGATGACGGAGCCAAACGACGCGCCGCCGGAGACCGTCAGCCTCGCCCTGATCACGTCGAGCGGGTACGTCAAAACGTTGCCGACGAGGGCCGCGGCGCCCGCGCACGCGGAACGGTAGAGCGGCTCGCGCGCGTCGAACTCGTCGTCCGCGGGCGTCAGAGGCAACAGGTTGACGTAGGTCGTGCACGTGATCGCCGCCGTCGGGAACACGCGCAGCGAGTTGGCGAGGTTGCCCGCGAAGAGGCCGCGCGCGCCCTCGGTTCTCAAAATGGCCGAAAACTCGCCGAGCACGCCGCGCGCGCTCGTGCCCGTCTGCGCCGCGAGCTTGACGCGCTCCAGGGGCGCGGTCAGCGTCCGCGAGACGACGCCCGCCGTGCCGCCGGCCACAATCGTCTGCCAGTACTTGAGGCCGGGCACGGGCTTCGTCGTGGATCCGAGGTCGTTGCCGAGCTCCGGCAGCGAGTCGAACTCGGACCAGCGCTCCGCGATGGACTCGAGCGAGGCGAGCGGCACGAACTCGAAGGCCTCCTCGAATTCGCGCATGTCCACCGTGCCGTCGCCGCCCTTGTCCACGGACCGCAGCATGCGCTCCGCGTCGTCGAGCGTCGCCGACGTCGCGCCGAGCCGCCGCAGCGCGCGCGCCATCTCGAACTTGTCGATGACGCCCGAGCCGTCGAGGTCGACGGCCTCGAAGGCTTCGCGCACGCGGCCGAGGTCGAAGAGCGTTCTGAACTCGATCAATGTTAAAGTGGATCGGTCGCCGTCGACGTCGTCGCAGCGCGCCATGAGCGAGGCGACGAAGGCGGCCTGGTTCGACGAAGGGAGTGCGTTTAGTTCGTCGAGCGCTGCGCGGAGCTCCGCGGCGTTCATCGTGCCGGAGCGATCACGGTCGTGCTTGTGAAAGACGGCGTCGACGCGCGAATCATGGTCGTCCATCGCGTTTCTGCCGCAGTCAAAAGTTACCTTTTGAGCAAGAGGCTGTTCTTGCCGAGCAACATGCATCGTGTTTGAACGCGATGGAGCTCAGAAGGGCGAGGCTAGAGCGCGCGACGGCGAGTGCCGGGGGCAACCTGCTGTCGATGCTTCATCTTCAGATGCTCGCGCTGCTCGCAACCACCACCGCATTGGTCATCAATCCGGACACCGCGGTCTGGGTGATCCATCCCGACGACACCGGAGGCGTGTCCGCGCGACGGCCCGTGGCGCTAGCGCTGCGCGACGCCAAGCGCGACTGGTACAAGGTGCTCGGCGCGCCGCCGGCGGTCATCGTCTCCGACGCCACGGGCGCCGCCGCGCTGCCGGACGGCTTCGACGGCGTCGCGTTCTTCCTCGGCGCCGCGGCCGCGCCGTTCGGCGCGCACCTCAAGGGCGAGGAGGAGCACGCCCTCGTGTTTGAGCCACCAACAACACACAACACACCGACGATCATCGCCGCGGCGGGCGGGCACCACGTGCGGGGCAGCGTCTACGCGATCTACGCGCTGTGCGAGCGGCTGCTCGGCGTCGAGCCGCTCTGGTACTGGGCCGACCTCGAGCCGGAGTACCGCGGCGCGCTGGCGCTCGACGCCGCGGCGGTGCCCTACAAGTCGGGCGAGCCGGCGTTCCGGCGGCGCGGCGTCTTTCCGAACGACGAAGACCTGCTCGGCGGGTTCCGGCCCGACCCGCTGGGCGAGAGCGTCTTCTCCGTCGAGCTCTGGGACAAGTTCCTCGAGGCGCTCCTCCGGCTCAAGGGCAACCTGATCATCCCGGGTACCGTCGCCTTCCCGGACGAGGCGTGCTACGAGATCGCCGCGGCGCGCGGTGTCGCGGTCTCGCAGCAGCACTTCACGCTCCTCGGCGTGAACACGTGGCGCTGGCCCGTCGGCGTGCCCTACTCGTTCGACCGCGACCGCGAGATCCAGGACTACGTCTGGCGCGCCTCGCTCGACGCGTACGCCGGGCGCGAGACGGTCTGGACCGTGGGCTACCGCGGCCTCAACGACTACCCCTTCTGGACCGACGAGCCGTCGTTCAACACCTCCGCGTCCCGCGGCAAGCTCATCTCGGCGGCGATGGCGCACCAGACGGCGCTCGTGCGCGGCACGCCGGGGCGCGGCGCCGACGAGATTGTCACCTACATGTGGGCGGAGGCGCTCGACCTCTACCTCTCCGGCGACCTCGCCCTGCCGCCTAACACGACGCGCGTCTGGGCCGACACCGGCTCCGGATCTTTCGATCCCGACGTCTTTCCGCACATCGCCGAGGGCGACGGCGTGTACTACCACACGCAGATGGAGAACCCGGGCTACTACGCGGAGCTCACCGAGATGACGCCGCCGGCGGCGTTCCTCGAGGCGGCGGCGCGCTTCGTCAAGGCCCGCGCGACCTCGCTCTTTGTGCTCAACTTGTCCGACCTCAAGCCGGCGCTCTTCTCCACGGACCTCGTGCTCCGGTACCTGTGGGACCCGGCCCCGTTCTCCACGGGCTCGATCGCGGAGCAGCAGACGCGCGCGATCGCGGCGTGGTGCGGCCGCGTCTTCGGTCGCGCCCACGCGGCCGAGGCGGCGTCTTTGATGGCGGGCTACTACAACATCAGCTACATCGCCGGGACTGACACGGACCGGCGCGGCGAGCAAAACCTCGCTGGCGAGGTGCGACGCCTGCTCGCCAACAAGACCGAGCCCGCCGACGCGCTCGCCTTCGTCGCGGGCCCTTTGCGCCAGCTGCGGCCGCTCCACGCGCGCGCGCGCGCGCTCCTACGAGCGATGGACGCGGCGGGCGCGCGCGGCGCGCGCCTCTTCGAGGCGTCGGTGCTGTTGCACGTCGCCATCCATCTTTACGGCTGCGAGGCCGTCAACGCGACCGCGGTCGCGCTCGGCGCCCCGGAGCGGGCGGCGGAGGCGTTCGACGCGGCGCACGGCGCGCTGCAGGAGCTCTTCGCGAGCCAGCGCGCCGCGGAGGGGCTCAAGTGGCGCGGCCTCTACGGCAACGACGAGCTCGACGACTTCTTCGAGGTCGCCTGCTCGCTCCGCGCCGCGCGCGCGCTCGCGACCAACGCGGCCGCGCCGGGCAGCTGCAACATGCCGTCGGGCCGCGTCTGGGGCATTCCCGGGCGCGGGACGGGCGCCTGGTCGACTTGGTTCGAGTACGGCGCCAGCTCGGCCGCGTTCCCGTTCCTCCGTCGCTCGGACGCGTGGAACATGGACAGCGTCGTGCGCGTCACTTGCGGGGACGCCAAATGCTCGGAGAGCGCCGTCGGCGGATCGCTCTGCCGCGGCGCGCGCGTCAGGCTCGCCGCGCCGCTCGCGGGAGCGGTCGTGCGCTTCACGCTCGACGGCTCCGACCCGAACCCCAACGCGCCCCCCTATCGAGACCCGATCGCGCTGAGCGCCACGACCGACATCGCCGCCGCCGTCTTCACGCGGAACGGGAGCTCCGGACTCGTGACCCGGTCGACGTTCACCGTCGTCGACAGCCCCCTTTGCGCGAGTAGCTAACACACATTAATCCGCGTCCTTCGGGGCCCTCCCGGACCGGTTGCTCGGCGCCGTTCCAGGCAAAGCCATCATCCTCTTCTTGAGCTTCTCGCGGACGAGGGCGAATCGCGCCGCGCCGTTGAGATTCTGCCTCTTCCCCTCCTCGAAGCGACCGATGAGGTGCTGGGCCTCGCGGACGTGGACCTTGAGGAGCGTCACGCGGTTTGCGTTGGCGTCTTCTCGTCGGCCCACATCTTTCGCCGTGCCCTTGAGGCCCTTGGCGGTCTTCGCGACGGTCGCTTTCTCGACGTCGGCGGCGAGCTTGCGCGGCGCGTAGCCCTCGGGAATCTCGACGACCGTCAGGAAGATGGCCAGCGTCTCCAACTTCCCTAGCCCACCCAAGACGGAGATGTCGCCCTTGAGCATCGGCGGGAGGCGCCGCAGGTTGACGTGCACGAGGTTCGCGCAGCCCGCGAGCGGCGCGAGCTCGCCGACGATCTTCGTCCGCTCCAAATCCAACCTCTCGAGGTTCGCCAAGCGACCAAAAACCTCAAAGCCGCCCGTGACCCGCTCGCAGCCGCAGAGGTGCAGATCCTCGAGCCGTTCGAGCCCTTCCAGCCCCCCGACATCCCCGCCGACGCTCGTGTGGCTCAGGTTCAGGAAGCGCAACCGATGGCACGCGGCGAGCGGCGCGAGCAACCCGCCGAGCGCGTTCCGGGAGAGGTCGAGGACCTCTAAATTCATCAACTTCACGAGGGGCTCGAGGTCCGCGTGGACGCGCCGCCACGTCGCGCCGACGCCGCGGTTCTTCGGAGGCCCGAGACCGAGCCGCGCGTCGCGGATCCGCAGCTCCACCAGCGCCCGGCAGTCCTCGAGGGGCCGCAAGCTGTTCTGCACCAGCGTTCCGTCCAAATCCAGCACCCTCAGCGCCCCCAGTCCGCTCAGGTGGCGCAGCGTGCCGCAGACGCTCGTGCCGCCGAGGCGGAGCTCCTCGAGGCCCGCGCATCTCGAGACGAATTTGAGCGTCGACTTGAGCCCCGAGCCGTGGCCGCGGAGGTCGAGGGACCGAGGACCGATGCGGCATCCGGCGAGGATGAGGAAGAGGTGCGGCGGCTCGCCTCCGTCCAGCCTTCCGACGGGGATCGCGACTTCGCGGCCGCCCAGTAGCAAATCGCTCACGTCGGCGAGATCCGCGGCGATGGCCAGGATGTTCGATAGGTGGCCTATGGGGACAGTGGTGTGTACTCTTGAAGTACTCTTGAAGTACTCTTGAGAAAACGCGCGGGCGACCAGGAAGTTCGTCCAGCCGGGCTCGTCGCGCGTGAACGCGCCGTGCGTCTCGCCGTTCACGAGGGCCATGCGCAGGTCCTCGGCGACGAAGAACTCCTGAGCGAC